GAGTGGCAAAAGTCTAAAAACAAGCTACAAACACTCGCTCCATACTTTGCCAGATACTTTCCAAATGGTTTTTAGGGATTCTGATAACACTTGAACTTGCTTGTAGTTGTTCCATTTCTAAAGCAGGTATGTCTGGACTAAAATTTGTGATCATTTCTCTTTATTTTGTTTTTGAAGATAAAACTTTTTGTTCCATTTTATAATTGTGCACTACTTGTTGCTGGTGTATCGAATAAAATCCCCCCCAAAAATTGCATTTAAGTTGTTCGCAAAGTGTGAATATCTTTTGAAAGGCGTTGTAAATTTGCAGCTGATTAAAACAAACATCGTCCACCACAAAACAAGAACAGCAAAATGAGTTTGTGGCCATCGGTTTTAAGCGAGAGCACTTTTAGTAAGATGAGGAAACGATTCTCATTCTAGCGGTGAAGTCACGGCATGAAGGGGAAAGTGTGTATTGGGACACTGGGCTAAATTTACCGTCTTTTACCAGTCACCATGAAGGCAGCCACTACAGTTAAAAAAAAGAAAAAAAAGAAGCTAAAAATAAAATATGGAAGTAGAGTTTGGCAAAGATAAGAGGAGAAAATAAATTTTAAAAGCTACATATTAACGTCAGATAAAATCAAATAAAAAAAGACAAACATGACTGGCAAGAAGATCACAGAGGTTTGTGTGAGAAAGACAGAATGAGTCAAAACAGAGAAAAAAAGAGGGTTGAAGAGGACAAAGGTTGGACTCTTTTTTCAAACTTTTCTACAATTTTACACATGTACAAAGAACACAAAAATAAATTCACACATCAGTCACTTATCATTCCAGGAGGGGGAAAAAAAAAAAGTCATGCAGGAACAAAAATTTAGATTGGTCAGATTCAGATGGAGCTCATCTGCCAAAACTGGACAAAAGCAAAAGGTGCAGCGTACGAAGACGCTCGTTCAAATTTAATTTAATGCGTCCCGTTCAGGAGTCTGGAATGCTTTGGGTTGGACTGAGTCCGCCAGGTCAGGCATGTACAATCGCTTCCCATCCACTTCCACCACAAACATCCATGCAGTGAGGACTGACGGTTCGTATTCACTGACGCCCCACAGCACAACCATCAGCCTGCATGCAGAGCTGCAACACTACCTCTGCACACACACAGAACTTAGCCTTTCCGCCTTTTACTGCTGCGATATCCGACTAAAACTCTGCGCTGCGGAGAAACCGTCACTTTCCTCAACGCTCCGACAACAACAGATCGCCCACAAACAACTCGGCTCGGAACAGGAGCCGGTCTTCAGGGTCAACAGCGACGTTCTCTCCTCTGGTAGTTACGTTTTTTTTCTCATTCACAAAATGAAACTGCTATTTTGGTAGCTTAACGTCTCATAAGTGGTACAAAAAAAATCAGGGATCTTTAAAAAGAGCCTCAACAATTCAGTTTTTATTTGTTTTTGTCTGAAAAGTCACTAAATATAGCAACGAAATCGATAAGTAGGCATCCGAGGGGTGACTACTGTTAACGAAGCACATGCAGATGTGATTTGGTGTCTGGTTTTCAGATCTTTGCAGAACTCCCAAAATTAAGGAAATCGGAGCCAATTTATTGCTGCACCCATAATGCAGACATAAAACACTAAGGGCTGTGTGATCGGTCCACTGTTGATCAGATTATCATACAAGACTGCAGGTCCACGTTTGATGAAAACCTGACTGCTAAATCAGTGGATGATACCATAGAAGTGGAGGAACTGATTAATCAACGCCCAGACACGAAGTAGAACAGTTTCTGAACTGCTGCCACCAGACAGATCGGCACTAAAATGATTCCCTTTATATCCTCGCAACCTTTGTTATACGTTTAATCCAATTTGTGTTTTCTTCTATTTAATACATTTCTGCTCCAAATTGTTCAAGATGTCAGAGAAACTCTCAAACGTATTTGTCTGCCATTAGCTACACGAGTAAATAATCTGAATTGATCATCTCACCAAGGTTATTTTCTCTACTACAACACAAATGGTTCAGTAAAGCCAATGCCTAGAGACGATGCTTTGAGGCCACGTAAGAGTGAAATATGGGTCAAGTGAGGAAAATTTAAAGAAATTATAATATTCATAATTATCTTTGACAAGAAAAGGAAAGTAATGCGAGTATCAGTGGCTTATCCTTAGGCATCCAAATGATAACAGAAACAGCCATGGATGGGATGAGAGGAATGAACCGTGTTTGAGAGAGCATCTTATGAGACACGCCATCATGCTTTGTGTGTGTATATATTATATATATATAATTTATGATGACTATGATGTGATGTGATGACAGGAAAGCAGGTAGTGAACTGTAGTTGGGCCACTTACATGGACACATTGGAAGCATACAGGAAACTGACTTCTTCAAAGCGCAGAGTTTTACCCCAGACAGAGAAAAGTACGTTATAACTTTGAACACAGCAAATCCATGTCTACTCTTGTTTTTGTCTAGGCTACAGTACATGCACAACATGGGAAGCCACGACAAAAGAGCTTAGGCAACTCCCACTGACATGCACCGAGTGATCGCGTGGAGCATTCTTTTCTAAACCATCAGGTCTGCTCAGCCTCTCTAAAAGGCTCTGAGGCCGTCTGGAGGCAGCTGCGGTCATGCTGACTAAACAAAGAAACTGATAATGACGCCTCATTACTAAAACTAATCTGCCAGAACAAAACAAACATGCAAGGAAAACATCAGCGTTGACGCTACGGGCTCCATTAGCGCACGGCTATCCATGTTAAAGCATGAACCATGCACACCAAGGCCTCTCCAGCTAACCGCATGCCAGTGGACAGGGAGGACACAGAAACGGCAAAAGGCCACATGTAGGTATCAGCACACAGTGTCTTGCAAAAGGAGTCGTACTGATTTAGCTTTGGAAACTTTTTTTTTCTTACATCTACAAATTTGAAGCGATCTGCTTTAATGTGACTATTAACAGGTACTTGATGTCATGTCAGCTCTAAGTAGTTTAAATGATACTGAAAAATATTAAAGGGGAAAATATAGAAAATCGTTTAGAATTGTCTTTGCCTTCGTTTTGTTTAAACACATTTTTGTAATTATAAAACTTTTTTTTTAAAGAAAATGTAATAACATTTTTCTTTGTTCTAAAAACCAAATGAGAAAGAAGTTGTTGTTTTTTTAAGGTGTGCACCGATTGATCGGCCGACCAATCAGGCCTGAATCCCCAAATTTTGGACCGATATTTACACAGGAAATCCATCTCATCCACTAATCTCATTAACCTCCACCACGGTTTGAAAATCAACTTCTGTTCCCTATTTAGCAACTTTTCAGATAAAAAAGTATTAAGAAACAAAAATTGGTATCGGCATAAAATCTGAAAACTACAATCGGTGCAGTCGTAATTTTTGGCCATATTTTATCGCAGTTATTTGTAAAACTTTTTGTTGTTTTTTTTTTTTTTAAATCGAGGAATAAGTTTTTACAACTCAAAACAAAGTTTATGTCATAACATCAAAGGGTTCTTTGGACTGAAATAAGCCTGCTGAGGTCTCACAATACTTTGCGTTGACATGAAATCTGAATAAAACACAGTGACAGGTCCGAGTCCTATTGCAAGACACCGTAACTTGAGGCCTGTATTTCAGAGCTTCTGAACTCCAAGACAAACATCCCACTCGTTCCGTCCAAAACGCGCGTCAACAAAACTCTGAAATCGTGACCAAATTCAAGCGAGAAGAACAGAAAACGTCCTCAGTCTCTCTTCTCTCTCATGCTGCCGATCGCCTGGCAACGCTACAGACCATCACCACAGGACACATGCAACGAGACGACTTAAACACAAACACACACACACACACACACACTCTCTCTTTTCTTTAATTTTTTGCAGATTTCATGCAGAACCTCACGGGTCAAACAAAGACACTCTGAACATGGGTGAGACTGATGCAGGTTGAACTGGCTCCGGTGGCATCCGCTCTGCTTGCTGATTGGCTGAAGGTGGAGGAGAGGATGGGGGGAGGATAAAGGGAGGGAAGGAATCGTGTTGCACCGCAGGATCCTGCCTGTCTTTCTCAACTGTACTGCAGCAGAAGTTTAAAAAAAAAAAAAAGCATCCAGCCTCATCCATCATGCAGGAAGTGAGTCGCACACGCCCAAAAAGGAGAGTGGGGTGTGGGTGGGGGGGTGTGTGGGGGGGGGGGGGAGGATCCCCGTTGTAAGCCCATGCAGAAATCCCAGCTTAAAGTGGTGGATCAAGTAAGACGGGCTGGAAAAAAATCCCCTCATTGGAAAACCAAAATCTGCATTCAAACACTCAGCACATGCTTCAGTAGAACAGGAAACGTATGATTGTATCCAAACAAACCTAAAAATAAAAAAAATAATAAACAACACACATTATAACCATTGGAAAAGAATCCAGCGTTGCGTAACAGTGAGCATGCGAACACCAGCATGCTGCTGCTGCAATTACCCATTAGCACCAGAAAGAAAGAGAGAGAGAGGAAAAGAGAGAGAGGTGAACCCAATGCCACGGAGGAGAAACAAAAGAGCATCCGACTGCAATCTGCCATGCATCATACTTTCACTTTCACCGGGCTCCTCTCTCATGCCCTCCGGTGGTGGCAGCTACACAAATATCATTCCAGCTGCTGCGTGGAAAATCCGAACATCGGCGTGGCTAACGTGGGGAGCGTCGTCGGGGAAACGAAGCCAAGAGGGCCGACAGGTTGGCGTGAAAACAAGGCATGCTTTTGCTTTCGTTCTTGCAACACTCCCTCCCCAAAAAAAATTAATCCCAGCACATTTAAAAAAAAACAAACAAAAAAATAGAAGGTGAGGTCTCTTTGGATTTTAAACAAACAGGAAACAGATTGCAGAGGACTGGGGGAAGTGGGATACCAGTGGGCTGCATCAGAGCATATCACATAAGGGATGATGGGATGGAGACAGGCAGAACTGATGGAGGAGCGGAGAGAAGATGAAGGAGAGAGAGAAAGAGGGGAAATTACCTCGATTTTACGGCCCTCCACCAGCGTGCCGTGGAGCTTTTCTCTGGCTTTCTCCGCGTCGGCGCTGTTTTCAAATGTCACAAAGCCGAAACCCTGCGGCACACAGCGAGGTTAGAGAAGAAGAGGAGAAAGAGGAGGAGGAGGGGAGAGGAAGGGCAACGGTAGAACAGACCGGGTCCGTTTCTCACTGCTAAAAATATGAGCCAAAACTGTCAACGAAAGAGTACCAACACAATCGTCTCAAATTTAAATTAAGAATCAATTTGAAAATATATTCCGAATGCCATCTCAATTGCCGCTACGCTAACGCCTGTGGTTATGACTGTTACTTGCACACTTTTTCCCTCCACCAAACTTTCCTTCATCGTTAGCAATACCTTCTTAAATCTGCCAACTCGGCAGTTTTCCCCATGACTGTGTAGGCCGCAACTTAATATTTTCCTCTCTGAAATGGATTACTGAAAAACATAACATCTGTAGTTTGGAGATATAGATGTAGATGCTATAGAAAGCACAATCAAACAGAAAGAAGCAGCTATCTTTCATATTTATACATGTACACAGAGGGACTTTTTAACCAGAGTTCAAAGGTCAGGCAAAGAAACTATGACTCAATGCATCTCATTATTCTTGCAGCAGCAGAGTTTATCGCCGCCGTTCTGTTTTAAATAAAAGCAGGCAGATGATGCAACACACATTTTATTAAATGTTTTTTGAGTGTGAATACTGCTGACGTGTGTTTTTTTATTTATTTATTTTTTTAATCATACAGTGAGAATCTGGGGAGAAAATCAAATCTGCCAATCAGAGCTCTGACTGCTTTTTGGCATCGTGTTCGCATCAGAACTGATCTCACTCAAACAAAGACAGATCAGAAAAAGAAACGACTCACCTTTGACCCTCTCTCATTGAAAATAATCTCTACATCCAGAATCTTCCCAAATTGCTGCAAAAAACACCAAAAAGAGGAATTCAGTAAATATATATCTGAATAATTTAGCATAATTACACAGTAAAGTCTTTTTGAAGCCTGTTTGGAGGTAGGAGACTTTCAGCAAACGTACACTAGGGGTCACTGTTACACCAAAGACAATTTTCAGCATTAAACTGTGTTTATCTGTTGCTCTGTCCCATTTCCCTCCCCAGATTTTGCGACTCACACTAACACACTGACACAGTTAGAAGTTTGGCCCCCTGAACGCATTAGCAGGACCCCCGCGGTCGCCTTCCCCCGTGTCCCACTTTGACTCTCTCGCCCGCTCAGAAAGCGGTCGTTTCGCAGGAGCGCTTCACCACGCGTCTAGACTGATTTATTGATCCTGCCCGGAGCGGTCCGTACCCCAAACATCTGCCTGAGGTCCGGGTCCCGGAAGCGGAAGGGGATGTTGGAGACGTGGAGGCGCTTGGGGGTCCCCTTGGCCTCCGCGGAGTCTCCCGTTGAGCCGCCCGCGCCTGTGCCTCCTGCAGAACACTGCGCTCCCGCCTCGCCCTGAGACGTCTCCTCTGTCTTTCCCTGAGGAGGAATGAAACAGCATTTTTTTTTTTATTGAGATTTAACACAGTAGATTGACAGAAAGCAGAGAATAAAAGTGAAGTAGAAGGAAACTTTTACACAAACAACATCTGAAAATCCATTCCAAAATAGCTCAAATTCAGGGAGACTGGATGGACGGCGTCCGCAAACTCCAAAATATTCTGTCTTAAAGGGGCGGTATTATGTGTTTTCTAGCTACATAGTGTCATTTTACAGCACAATCAAGTAACTATGTTACCTTCAGTTGTTATAAAAATGCTGTGTTTATCAAAAATGACTAAAATAATTTTTACTTCCTTATTCAACACCTTGAAATTGGGCCTCTGTCTCTTTAAAAAATCCTGCTCTTTCTGAAACTCTGCATTCAGGAAGTTGTCACAAATGGCTCCCCTATTAATCCTTTAACATTTTTACAAACTTTTCACTGAGAAGTAGCTCCTATAATGAGCCCAGCTGATGCACAGTTCCACCAGGTGTTTGCTGATTGCCGCTGGCTAGTCTGAAGGAGCTGAGCGGTGGAGTCGTGGAAGCTCAGAAGCTTGGAAAGTGCAGCTCTTGGGGAGGAACTTTGTCCTTGAAGGCGGAGCTAAGTCCACCCAGGTGTTTTGCACAGCTGAATGGTTGCCACGGGAGATTGAAGGATTTCTCAAACATGCATAAAAGAATCAAGCGAATCAAGTGTTTTTGATAAGGTAATAACATCATAACATGATGCAAGCTGAAAAAAGTCAAGACGCTCAGCAGATATCAGAAAGGTCTGGGTCCCAAAATGATGATAAAGTACAAATCAATTTCAGCATGCCATTTTTGTTAAGATGCAAGTTAAAACCTAATTTTTCCCCCACAAAACAAATCCCCCTTTTTTATTCTTCCATTACAAATCTCATTTCCTCTAATTAAATTTTATAGATGAATGAGGAATAGTATTTAATATAAATCTGCCAGGACCATCAATGCAATGACAGCTTTCCATGTTGGCCGAAACACAAACATTTTGTTCTCGCCTGAACAAAGAACCTTCTGCCACATGTTTCTCTTATCCTCTACATGCCTGGTGGTGAAAATTAGCGGGACTTTCTTTCATTGATGGCCTTTCTTTATGGCACTTGTCTCTAAAAAGAAAGCTAATTAGCCGTCGTGTCGACAGTGAATCTCAGCAGCTCCTCCAGAGTTACCATAAGCTCTGATACTTGCTGTCCTCAACCAGCTGATGGGGCCGTAATCTTTCCTTTGTGTCTTCAGTTGTTCTTTGGGCTTCATGATGGTATTTGGAACAGGGCTGCACCGATTGTCTTCTGGCCGATCAATCAGTTGATAACAGTGGGGTGACTATTGTTCGGGTTTGTCATGGTTGAGCAAAAGGAAGATGGTGGTTGATTTTCAGACCTTTGCGTAATATTGGTGGAAAAAGTAGGTTTCTCATTTAAATATCGGAAATTCACAGATCAATCAATCAGTGCATCCCCTATAAAAAGAAGTTTATTTCTCTTTCAGTTTTTAGAACATAGGGGAAAAACTAGAAAAAAAAGAAAAATGTCAAGACTAACCTTTTCCATGCCTTTCTATTTAACAATTGTGTTCAGTTTTTCGACCAAGTTGTGGCTAATCGATCGGCCGATTCATCGGTGCACCTCTAGTCTCTGTAATGTTCTCTAACAAACCTCTGATGTCCTACAGGTGTATTTATACTCAATGTATTCAAATTAAGTAACTACTTTATTGATCCCAAAGGGAAATTGGACGCAGGTCGATTTTATTACTTACATTAGATGATTTCTGGAAGCAACCGATTTAATTTAGGGGTAACAGAGTAAAAGAGGTTGAATATGAATGCTCAAATATAAGAATTTTAATGTAAGAAAAAAAAAGATGTGGAAACCTTTATAAATGAAATACATGCTGCAGGTTTCTGACTGTAGTTCAGTCGTTGTGGAAAACCTCAGCAGAGTTCTGCTTCTCGCTGGAGAGCTCGTTCGACGCGTCAAGAAACTGATAATCTTCACGCTGCTCAGCATGAAAGCAGCGTTTATTTATATAGTAAACAATTCTGACGCTGAAGCGCAGCACAAACCGGAGCTGCTTTAGATCTTTATCTGTGTGTGTGTTTGTGAGTGTACAGGGTGAAAAGCAGTGTGCTGTGCTCCATAAACAAATTTCACCGAGCTCAAATTTAAAAAATAAATAAAATAAAAGTAGCAAATGAATGCTGACATCATGCAAACTGTGCATCTCGCAAATTAAAAGTGGAAGACTAATTAAAATAATAATAATAATAATGACTTGAGGAAAATGGTTCAGACTCCTCCTGCGAAGCAGCACAACTCTGAGTTTTTTGCTGATGTCGGCATGTTAATATGATGCTGAAACTCTGCTGATGTAACCTGAACCTGCTTCACCATGTTACGGCCATCTGCTGTTAGCTTCCTAAAAGCTCATTAAAGCTAAACTCAGCTCCAGCTGATGGGAAGGGTTATTAGATTTTACCTTCTTTGGCAATAAAAATAAAACCCCCACTGCATGTCACTGTCGGTAATTCCACTGTAATGCCATAAAATTACATTTTCATTCATTTAACCTACGCATATATCGGAAAATGTGACGAGCCCTGAACAAACGATCACTTATCCGCTGGTGAAACACGGTGGTGGCAGCATCATGCTGTGGGGGATGCCGGAAGAGAGGAGGTTCATGTTCCAGCACAGTAACGAGCCTAAGCATTCAGCCAGAGCGCCAACAGATCGAAGTGTATTCATGTGCTTGAATGGCCCAGTCAAAGTCCAGATTTAAATCCAGCAGTTTAAAAATCAAATATCCTTCCAGTCAAATACTTTGGATGATAATGTGACAAAACGCACTAAGGCATATTAAAATACATCCAAAATAATAATAATAAT